CCAACTGTGGCCACCTAGGAATAAAACTTTTCAGGGAAAAAGTAAATCTAGCTACCCAATTAGAAATTTCAGGGAAAAAATAAATCTAACTACCCAACACGAACTGAAAATCCTAGAGTAAAAGATTTTACTCATAAAAATAACAAACCTGTGAGTTCTTCTGAATAAAACCCAATCAAGTCAAATGAAATAGTTTCAAGTTTAAGCAGAAATAGCTATTGCCTTAAAAGATAGGCTATCTTAAGATCGCATGGTGAGTGTTTAAATTCTCTACACAAATTGTATGTACTGTTAGTTTTCTTCCAAACATAAAAACTATTTCAAAAATTAGCAACACATTTTATTCATATTGTTTGTAATTTACTGAAGATCTCTTCTGACTTGTCACTTCCATTTGATATTTTAATATATGCTATGAGAAACATAACAAAGGATTTTGGGTTCTTTAAGTTTATCTTTGATATGAATTTTCTACCTTTGTATTAAAAATACAGAATTCTAGAGAAAAAGGCCAACTGATAGGAGACAAAGGAGCTATTTTTTTATGGTGACTCAATATATGTTTATTTATATATTTATTTTTAAATTTTTATTAGTAAAACACCATGAGGACTTCTGAGTATCTCAGTCTAGGGATCAGGGAAAAGACAATTTTAAGTTCCTTCCAGATAGTCTCTGAATGTATTGAGTAACACACAGGGACAAACAAGAGACATGCACAGACAAAAGGGCTTTTAAGATCACAAAAGGGAGTTTTCTTGAATGGTAATTAATGAAATAATGTGCAGTTGTATGATGATGATCCCAGCAGCTTTTTATTGCACAAATGGTCAGCTATGTTAAAAAAAGAAACATTTGGGAGACCCAAAGAGATAACACATAAGGGGTCCGCCTTGCAAGTGGCTGACCCAGGTTCTATCCCCTGACATGACATATGGTTCCGAGCCCTGCCAGGAGTGATCCCTGAGTACAGAGCCAGGAGTAAGCCCTGAGCACTGCTGAGTGTGGCCCAAAAACCAAACCAAAGAAATATTAGTTTGCTACGTTTCTGTCCTCTCTCAAATAATGCATTTTATCTCTTACTCCACTACTAAAGTATAAAGTCACAAAGAATTCAGATTCAAATCCTTCCCTTCCTTCCTTCCTTCCTTCCTTCCTTCCTTCCTTCCTTCCTTCCTTCCTTCCTTCTTTCCTCCCTCCCTCCCTCCCTCCCTCCCTCCCTTCCTTCCTTCCTTCCTCTCTCCTTCTCCTGAGGTTCTGTCTTGAGGGGTTTTTCTGGACAGTGTTCAGAGGACCATGGTGTATCAGGGATCAAACCTTCTGCCTGCAAGTGTGTGCTCAGCATGTGTATCACTGGAATATCTCCTGGGCCCCTTGAACTATTTATTTTATTGTGAATTTAGAAATATTCTGGTTCTGGGACTAGGATGGCTGCTAAGACTCAGCTCCTGCCTTCAAGGATCCTTGAAGAGAGGGTGCTTTTGTCTTGTTTTGTGCTTTGTGTATTTTCTAGTTATTTCATGCCAAATGACACAACCAGTTGTGTGAGGGTGTTTTGCGTGCTTAGGAATAAGCTGCTGATCTTTACCCATTTAAATCTACAATCCAAGTGGTTTCTTGTCAGGGACACAAGTAATTCATAATTGTCTATCCACAGAAAGCCTTGTCATCCTGGTTGTCAGTATTTTTTCAGCTGGGAACATGAAATCATTGTTATTTGAGTGACATACTTGTTAATCTATTTCTTTCTGTGAAGCAGGACACTGGGAAGTGACTTTCTTTTATCACTCCCTCTCCCCTTCCAGAAAAGACGGCTATTTCCACCTTGTTTGTTTCAACTTCTTCAGTATGCTGACATCAAACCTTTCTAAGAAGGCAAGAGATGTTCCAGCCAGATAAATTCTTTGAAGAGTGCCAGTACAATCTGGCTTAAACTTGGTTTTAGAAAGATCCTTAAGTATTTAAAAGAATTTTAAAAAACTACTTTGGCATGCCACCAGGTCTATGGGGTGATTTTATTCATGTCAGGCTACAGAAGAAAAACAGAGCCTACTCATGGGTGGGGATTGCTAGTTCAAGATTGAAATGATTTCACTCTTCTTTTTTCTCTCTATTATCATCTTAATCTCAGGAACATGATAGGTAATCAAATAAATCCCTCATACAAAGGCTGTTGTCTTTGATAATCCTCTAGTGAACCCTCACATTAGTTTTCGTGCTCGCTGGGCGTCACTTTCTGTTACCATTTAAGGAGATAGTTTGAGTAAGTGTGTTGGTTTGCTGAGACATCAACTCAGGTAGGTTGCTGTTGTCTTGTCCTAGAAGTGTTAAGCCTGGGACTATGAGTTCCCAAGCAGAGAGATGGACAGAAACACGAACTCAATAATGTTAAAGCAGTAGGAATTTTATTCCACTATACTGGGGTCAACTATGTCACCCACAGAGTGGTCTCTTGATAGTGACCCCAACTTCAGGCAGCAAGCAGTTTATATAGGGTTTGATTACATAAGCATATGTGCCTTATTATTTCAGAAAGAAATCTTACTTAGTTACCAAACAAAGGCCTTTTGGCAAGTGTCTAGGATAACAGTAGTCAGGCAATAGTTGAACAATAGTTTCCACTAGCAGTTTATTGTTACATATGCTACTCATTCTTTTAGGGTTAACAAAAGACAATTTCTGGCATTTTGACTGGGGCATAGTGATTGATTGAGGCCACTTGCTGGGCCCAGGAACTTTCCCAGGTGGGTTCAGGTTGGCTAGTTACACATTGTTTCATTGCTGGGAAATTGAGATTGTTTTAATTCCATAAGGGAACCTGAGGCCTAGGATTTTGCTGATTTCTGCCGCCTGTCATGGCATCAGTTTCGCCCTTACTGAAGGTGTTTCTTTTGGCTCAGATTGGTTCATCAGTGACAGAATTAGAAAAACCTTACTATGTTGCTTACCTTCCTATCCATCCATCTGCCCATCCGTTCATCCATCCATCTAAAGTTGGTGGGTCCCTACAGGTGGCTTATGTGAGGTAGAGAAGAGAGAGACAGTCATTTTCTCCCGATCCACCTCTGCCACCCCAGGATCTGCTGGCGAGGCTCTTTGCAGGAAAGGAAATACTGTCTTAGGCTTTACCCAGCCTTTACAGGTCTTTGTCTTTCTTCACAGCAAAGAATTTCAGGAGTAGACAAGCAGTGAAGTAAAAACAGATTTTATTTGGAGGTTGTGAGGAAGGGGAAGGAGGGAGAGAAAACTGAGAGTAATGCATTCAAGCTTTTTTTGTTTTTTGTTTGGATTTTTTGGGGGGTTACACCCAGCGACGCACAGGGGTTATTCCTGGCTTTGCACTCAGAAATTACTCCTGGCAGTGCTCAGGGAACCTTATGGAATTCTGGGAATTGAGCCTGGGTCTCCCACATGCGAGGCAAACATCTTACCCTTTGTACTACTGCTCCAGCACCAAGTAATGCATTCAAGAGAGAATGCTCTCTCCAAGGATGGAGAAAGCCCCAGCACGCATCTCAAGAGGGGAGATGAGGGTGACACATGTGCTCCTGTGCTTGGGTACCACATGTGCTTGGCTATGTGGGCACAAGCAACACAGGGGCTCAGGCATATGTGTGTGCTTCCTTTGTTCAAGGTGGCATTTATAGGGTTTTTCTAACTATCCTCATATACATATGGGACTTTTACCTGGATAAGTGTTCCTTGCTATGGTGTTTGCCAAGTTGGTAGTTGGGAGTGGTCAACGGTCCTCTTTGAAATTCCTTTCCTTGGTCTTTGTTTCTGCTGGAGCTTGGGGAGGTCCAGCCATCTCTGGGTCTGTTAGGATCAGGTGAAGTTTTATCAGTTCACAAGGTGTGCTATTTGCAGCCTTGGGGCTATCTGTTTTATTACTTCCCAAGATTTCCTTTGCCATAGGGGGCCCTTTCCTATCTATCTGGCTACATCAGATCCATCCATTCAATTTTTTTTTTTGCTTTTTTGGGTCACACCTGGCGATGCACAGGAGTTACTCCTGGTTCATGCACTCAGAAATCACTCCTGGCAGTGCTCAGGGGACCATATGGGATGCTGGGAATAGAACCTGGGTTGGCCGCGTGCAAGGCAAATGCCCTACCCGCTGTGCTATTGCTCCAGCCCCCATCCATTCAATTATTTATTGAGCACTTCATCTAAATGTCTGGAGCATAGAGTGGTGGGTAAGTAGGAAGAGATGAAATTGCTGATACAGTATGTGGATCATATGTATATGATGCTGACACTCTGGGCTTTCTTACTCCAGTGAGTTATTTTGACCAACATAAGAATCAAAGAAAAACTACAGAAAGATTTTAGGGTTTTGTGAAGATGTGCTGGACTTGTAAGAGATGAAAGATTTATACGATCTGAAGAGAAACCAGAGTTTGATGTGCTGGACTGGAGGCAGAGGAAATGAGTGAGAGCAAGACCATCAGGAGCTCAGCTGGGAAGCTAGTGCAGCTACTCAAAAGAGAGAGGCTGATAGTAGTTTATGACTGTCTGTAGGAAGATGATTTCTAGTAGATACATGCATTCATAGTAATATAGGATAAAAGAGCAGAGGCATATTTATTCAGAATTTTTTGCCATAAAAAGAAGTCACTGTCACTGTCCTCTGGTTGTTCATCGATTTGCTCGAGTGGGCCCAGTAACATAGTGAGACTTGTTGTTACTGTGTTTGGCATATCAAATATGTCATGGGTAGCATGCCTGGCTTTGCCATGCGGGTGAGATACTCTTGGTAGCTTGCTGGACTCTCTGAGAGGAGTGGAGGAATCGAACTTGAGTTGGCCAGGTCGGCCGCATTCAAGGCAAACGCCCTACCCACTGTGCTATCACTCCAACCCATAAAAAGAAGATTGCTGGAAAAAAATGAAACTTGTTATTGATTCTTTAGCATCTGTAGTGTGTAATATATGCTGTGTCTATCTCTTCAACCATTTTATTATACCTTAAACTGTACATGCTTGAGAATATTTTAAATAATTTTATATATATGGAGAGAAGGTTAGCACTCCCCTTGACAAGGATATATATATATATATATATATATATATATATATATATATATTGTTTGGGGGCTACATCCAGCAGTGCTAAGGGCTTATTCCTGGCTCTGTGCTTAGGGATCACTCCTAGCGGTATGACCACATGTAGTGTCAGGGATCAAACTGGGGTCAGTCACTTGCAAGACAAGTGTCTTAATACTGTAGTATTTCTCCTGCTCCTAGATGAAATCTAATTATACATTTTTCTGAAGTGTGTGTGTGTATTCAAGACAGTGTTTTGATAAATAGCTACTATGATGGACTCATTTATAAATGAGAGAATTAAAGCAGTGAATGTAGAGAGAGGTACCTAAGACTGATTAGTGACAATAACAGATGTGCATGGAACTAGTCCCAGGCTCCATAGTAGATCCATGTATTATAGTTGTATCATGTGTCTTGATGGTATTGTTGCAGATTTATTTCTAGGCTTCTCCTTTCTATATTTGTGGGTAACATTTTCCTAATCTGCACATTATTTATGATTTGGTGTTTAGTTTGGAACAATTAGATTTTTCCTTATCAATTTTTCCTTTCTTTTGGTGAAAAATAATTATATTTTTCAATTTTCCAGTTTCAAAGGATGACTCTCCCCCTTTTTAAAGATCATATTGAGATTGCTTTGCCTTTTCTATATCTTGTTACAGTGAAGATTAGTGGAAAGGACTTTGGGTTGGGGGTAAGATTACCTGCCCTGTTATTAACCTAGTGGGTGATCTTCATTGTACTGGTCTCAATTTTCTTATCATTTAAGCGGGGCTAAAACCAATCTTCCCCATAATTAATAGGTCTGTTGTGGGGTGGAAGTGAGCTAATGCACACCAATGTGCTTTGTAGTTCATATACAGGCCACATACACAAGTTAAGCAATATGCATGTAATATATACGTTTGTGAGCATCAACCTCTGTACACATGAGGGCAAAAGAGATAGATGATTATAAGCACCCCCATGTCCACCTTCAGTTATTATCCCACCATACAGGAGAGAGAGAAAACCAATGAAGTTATGTTAGGAGCCACAGGGCTAGATTAAATCCTGGCCTAAAAGGTATATCTTGGTGTCCATGTGGCTTAATAAAGAACCTTCATAGGTTCCAGTACTACAAAACAGAATCCATGCAAAGGTCCTTCCAAATTTATGATGATAAATGTTTTTCTTACTATCTCTAAGATGATATTTCTTCCACCTGCAGCTGAGCTCTGTAGGCCTCAATTCCTATCACAGCTGAGTTCAATGTTTGCCCGTGAATGGAGGAGTTGCCGTGGGGCTAAATGAGATGATCCATGTCTTCCACATAAAAGTGCTTAAGAGTGCTCTTATTAAATGTGTGTTAGTATTGTAAATTAATGCCAAATCATTAAAATTTGATTAAAATTAAGTATATTTTGGGATGGACATTTGTAACATTCTAAGAAAGTTACCAAAACATTCTGTTATACTGGGTTATAATAATTGGAGTTTAGTGTACAGTGAAATGGTCTTATATCTCTTCTCCTAGACAGTTTGAATTTCTTTCACTTATTTCTTTAGCATAGATAAAAGCAGTCTCAAATGACTTTGGTAGACCTCAGTCCTTTGGCTTGTCCATCTCTCTGTGTTCTTTGCTTCTCCCATACACTTGACTCTTTCCCCTCCCCTTGATTCTCTTCTTCTTTCCCCAGAATTAGAGAGGTACAGGAGAGTTGCAAAAATTGGCCAGAGAAAAGATCATTCCATCTAGTTGCCCATTTTCTTTAATATTAACACATCCATTAGGAAATACATTCTTGCAAAATGTATATTGGCTAAAAGAAATAAAAAGGTGCAAAGTGTGGAGTCAGACAGACTTGGGTATGATTCTTGGCTCTGACATCAACTATCCAAGTGATGAATATAAATAATGAATGCCTTCTGTCTCTGGTTCCTCATGTGGTAAGCGAGTGGGTGTGCAGAAAATGCACACTGAGAGCCCTGAACACTTGAGGCATTGGAAACTCTCAGTGTTGCTATTGTAGCTATGAAAAAAATTGAGATACAGAAGGTTATTAAGTGCATTGGCATCTTTAAATTGAACTTGAAGTAGAGATATTATCTTGAGTTACTGATATGGGCTTGACATGTCACAAATATCTTTAAGAGGTGGGAGAGGGAAGCAAAAGAATCACTTGGCATTGGGGAAGAAAATGTGATGAAGGGTGAGTTAGCAGTCAAGAAACAGTTTTGAAGGGGGCACAAGGACTTAACCCAAGGAATCTGGGAGGTTTGAAAACTGTATATAAACAAGGCAACAGATTCTTTCCCACGACCGACCGCCAGGAAACAAGAGTTTTACCAATACCTTGATTTTAGCCCAGCAAAACCTATGTCAGACTTAATAACTATTAAACTATAGCACCATAAATTTGCCTTGCTTTGAGTCACAAAGTTCGTGTTAATTTGTTATAATGGCAGTGTGAATTAATATAGCAAGAATGTATATGTGTTGGGCTGGAGAGATAGCACAGAGGCAGGGCGTTTGCCTTGTGTGCAGCCAGTCCGGCCAAGCTGGGTTTTATTCCTCTGCCCCTCTCGGAGAGCTCGGCAAGCTACCGAGAGTATCTCGCCCACATGGCAAAGCCTGGCAAGCTACCCATGACGTATTCAATATGCCAAACACAGTAACAACAAGTCTCAAAATGGAGACGTTACTGGGCCCGCTTGAGCAAATTGATAAACAATGGGAGGACAGTGTTTGTGTTTTTGTTTGTATATGTGCAATATACAAACAGGAACTCTAGTGATTGACTTTTGCTAAGGGTTAAATTATAGTAAGTGTTGTTGGTGAAAATATTGTCTGGTTCAGTCTCTGTGGAAACAATATGGAGATCAAGCAGTTTGGGTCTTGGCATCTATCCCAAGAATACAAAAATGCTCATTTGAAAAGATGTATGCACATTTATTGCAGCATTAGACATAATAGAATATGGAAATAAGCCAAATGTCCAATGACAGATAAATGGATTAACAAGTTGTGGTAGATATACACACAATGAAATACTACACAACTGGAATAAAAATTGAAACCCTGCTCTTTGCAACTGAATGAAGGGTATCATGTTATGCGAAATAAGTCAGAAGTAAAAGAAAAACATACCAGAGGATTTCATACATTGTGGTGTATAGACAATGTCAAATGATTAACTAACTCTTGTCTTTGGTTGCAAAACTGAGGTTACCAAGCAGCAGAGGAAACTAGAGTGGGTGGAAGGAGTAGATGGATTAGAAGTGACATAAAGACAATTGGTGTAGGATCTTGAGTACATTAGTGGTGGTGTGGTGTAGGAAATTTGTACATCAAAATGATAAATATGTGCATCAAAATGACTAATTTTGATCCTGTTACATAATCTGATATTGCAAAGAAAGCTAAATGATGTGTTTGCAGATGAAAGGTAAAATTCAGGGAATAGAACATTTTTATATATAATTTATAAAATATTTGCAGTGCACATATGCAATGTTAAATCTTGAAATATTAGAATACCAATAAGGATGGTGGCACTGACTCCAAACTGTACATCAGTTAAATTGTACAACATTTAATTAATTTTAGCACAGCAGGTAGGGCATTTGCCTTGCACGTGGCCAACCTGGTCGGCCCAGGTTAGATTCCTTCACCCCTCTCGGAGAGCCCAGCAAGCTACCGAGAGCATCTCGCCCGCACGGCAATGCCTGGCAAGCTACCCATGATGTATTTGATATGCCAAACACAGTAACAACAAATCTCACAATGGAGACGTTACTGGACCTGCTCGAGCAAATCAATGAACAACGGGAGGACAGTGCTACTTTGAGGAAATTTGGGGGCCATGCCTGATGATATGTAGGGTCGACTCTCAGCTCTGTGCTTAGGGAGAACTTCCAGTGGTGCTCATGGAACCACATGTAGTTCTGTGTCTACAACCAGGGTCAGCTGCAAGCAAGGCAAGTACCTTCACCCGTGTATTATCTCTCTGATCTTCTAGCCAGACTTTTAACTTGGAAATTAAGATATTTACTGTACTACACAAAAATGATAGCATTGAAATCTCATGGAGTCAAACATTTCTCAAATTACTCTAACGGAGAAGCAGAAAATTGCATAAAATCTGCACCTGTGCATTCATTGCAGCACTGTTCACAATAGCCAGAATCTGGAAACAAACTGAGTGCCCAAGAACAGATGACTGGTTAAAGAAACTTAGTACATCTATGCAATGGAATACTATGTAGCTGTTAAGTAAGATGAAGTCATGAAATTTGCCTATAAGTGGATGGTCATAGATAGTATCATGCTAAGTGAAATGAGTCAGAAAAAGAGGGACAGACATAGAATGACTGCACTCATTTGTAGAATATAAAATATCATGAGACTAACACTCAAGGACAGTAGAGACAAGGGTCAGGAAGATTGCTCCATAGTTGAAAGCCTGCCTATGAGCCAGGGGAGAAGGCAGATGGGATAGAGAAGGGATCACAAAGTCAGTGATGGTTGGAGGGATTGCTCGGGATGGGAGATCTGTGTTGAAAGTAGATAAAGAACCAAACATGATGGCCTCTCAGTATCTGTATTGCAAACCATAATACTCATAAGTAGAGAGAGACAGAGAGAAATTGCCATAGAGGCAGGGGAAGAGGTTGGATGGGGGGTGGGGGGTGCAGGGATACTGGGGACATCGGTGGTGGAAAATGTACAGTGTGGTGGAGGGATGTATGTTTGATCATTGGATGACTGAAACTCAATCATGAAAGTTTTGTAACTGTAGCTCATGGTGATTCAATTAAAAAAAATCAAGGCTTTTCCTGAAGATCAGGTCACACAGTTTGCAAATGGATAGTCCATGCTTGTCTCCCTGCTCTGTGGGTCCTTAGACAGAGCTGCCTCAACCATGGGTTTCTCCATTGCTAATTGCTGTTTACAACAAACACTTCATATCATTAGTGGCAAAAGATGGTGCTCTAAGTGGGACATTGGACGTGATGCCAACAAATGGGTCCCTCTGGATGGTCTGCTCTGTTTGGGCGAGTTCCAGATGAGAACTTATCACTTATTTCTTCTT